TCTCCCTCAAAATTGGGGTAGCAAAATAGAAGTCCAACTTCTTTTTGGAGTAGGCTCTGGTTACCATTGTTCCATGCAATATGGATACGACCACAACAAGACAAGACCAACATGGATTTGATTTACGTCGATACAGAAGGAAAAAAAATGGTTCACAGAAGTATGATCTCTTTAGAAACGTGACGTTCGCCCTTCGACAACCATTCCGCACATGCACAAAATTGTATTAATGTTGAATTTGCTTCGACAGCTATTTCGCACATGAGCAACTGCTTCCTGCCTAATTTAGTTTACTCTGCATGCATTTTATGTGTTTTTTGTTTATGCATTTTTTTATTTCTTTATATTCACTGCAATTAATAAATAATAGGTAGTACATTTAAAGTAAGAAATGCAGACATTTTCTAAAAAGAGGGACATTTTTAAAAATTGGTAGGACGCGGGACAGTCCTCCAGAAAGCGGGACTGTCTTGCCAAAATTGGGACGTGTGGTCACTTTAATCTAGCAACTTTTGATTTACATCTAATGAGGCTTCACTGTACTCTCAAGAACGTTCTACTTCAGTTTCTGATTCTTGCACAATGCTTTGAGCATTAAATAACTTCATCATATTTTAATAAACTAGTTTCTCGCTCAATTAACACTGCAAGTGATTCTTCCAACAGTTCTACATCTAGACTCTCATTTTATAATTCATCTTCAGTTTTCTTAATTTTGTGAGGTGGTTCAAGCCAAACATCTGACTTTCCTCTTTTGTTCACCTGTTTCTTAAGGTGTCATTTTAATTTCCAAAGATAAAAAGCATACAAATAGATATTGCATCACTTACTAGTTTCAAGCTGATTTTAAAACAAAATTAATCCACGACATCTTACCAATCCATAAACTTTCTTTTCTGTTCATATGGCACCAATCAACATATAAGAACTAATTTGTTTGCCTCATCACATTGGTGATTCTTAATGTCATGTTATATTGAATAACCACACTTATTTTTCTTCTAATATTACATTATGAATAAATATATATTTACAAAACAGTTGGGGTTACATTATACCATGTTTAACTCTCTCTTACCCCATCTCTAGGTGACTACACCTATTCACTCTCTCCATATTCACTCAGCACTGAAATTATATGGGCAGAGCAGTGCCCTCTATAACTTTTCCCACAACATGTCTGGGATGCCTTAAGACACTAAATGTCTCCCTGGTCTAAAAACTGCACTTTTCAGAAAAATTGCATAGAGTTCCACAAAATTTTACCAACAGTTTGGTAAATTCTATGAAATCAAGCTACTTCCATTTCTGTTAGAGATCACTATATTATTGACACTGAAAAAAAGATTTGGTGCAGAACTGGTGCGCTATCATTTTTAAATTTTCAATAACTGAACTTTATTCAATATTGAGATTAATCAACTTTCAAATAGGGTAATTCACATTACGTAATGTTTTTGTAAGTGTTGTTTCTAATAATTTTTAGATAAATAACAGTTAATTTTGCTTCTGTCAATATCTTTTAATTCGAGCAACATACCTTAAATTTTACTAAGCAGTACTCCTCACAAAGGATGAATGTAAAGAGGGGAAAAAAAAAAAAAAAAAAAAAAAAACTAAGCTTTTCAGTCCTAGTTTTGCAACCCCCTTCCACAAAAAAAGGAGAGGGAGAGAGAGAATAAGAAGTTATGACATCACATCCAATTATAAGAAAGCAAACTTTATTCTATACATGAGTAAAATAAGCTGTTAATTTATCACTTATGAATGGTAAACTGTTAATTTACCATTTATGAATGATATGTTAGGTTAAAATGGTTGTACGCTTACTATAGCTATATTTTTGACTAAAAGTTGACTTAAATGCATCAAAACTTCAAACCTTAAAATGTGTTTTTGAACTGTTGAATATCCAAGGATGTTTTTTACGTACGAGTATATGACATGTTGGTCTTACTTACGACTTACTATACTACTTATGAACTTATGGTTTTACTTATGAACTTACTATATGACACACTATATGGCACGTTGGCAGTTTATTAACTTTACTCAGATTTCATGTTTTCATTCTTAAATTGGATGTGGCTTTATAACTTTACTTTCACATTTTTTGCTTAAAAACTATAAATCACACATACATTTTATAGTCTCATAAAAACATCACTGTGCTGAGGAAATATCTTGGATATGTAAATACACGCAGTGCATGATCAAAAGTATCTGAATGCTCCAAGTGGTGGATTTGCTCAGATATACATCAGGCAAACTCAGTATGGCAAGTCTCAAATTGGGGGACGTGAAACAATTTTACATGGCCCATAAATTCATTTACCCTAAATTAGTTAGAATTATTATGAAAAAGAATTTGAAGGAAAAGTTTAACACTTACTGATCTGAAGTCCAATTTTTATATTATTTTCTGTTTTATTAATATTTACAAATGGAGAAAATCTATAAATGGAGCTCATTTACATTGCGAACACTTATTCAAAGATTTGAAGACAAAGATAAGATTAATTTATTTTTCAAACTTATTCAAAAATACTCTCAGTTAGGAATTTTTGAAGTTTGTTTGGGAGTACACCGATTAAAAATCAAAACACCATGAAGTGGGTAGCTTAGTAAGAAATAAGGAAATTTGTAATTATTTACATACAAATATATGCATTTTTTCTGTATGGGTCAAAGAAACATTTAGTAAAAAGAATAAGAATTGGTTATTGTTATTTCTTCTCAAGTTTTACTCCTCTAGGAAAGATTTTGTAATTTGTTTAATTTTAGTTTAAAAGTTATTTAATGGTTAATTCAACACATTAGAATTATCTGAAACAAATGTCAGTTTCTAAAATTTAATATTTAGCTGTCAACACATTTGAACAACAAATTAATTTCTTAAAGATATATCTGGATTTCAGAACAGAAAATAAATTGGAATTTTTCCTTTTTCTCATTATTATTAATGCTTATTTTAATAATTATTCAGTAAATAAATTTTCTAATTTAGTTAAATTTTTATTTTGTCAAGAAAAGAAAAGAAAAAAAAAAAAAAAGCATTTTTAGTTCCAAGGGGCAATTTCCCCAGAAGAACTATTAATTTCGTTTTGGCATTTTGTATTGCTTCACTTTTCAAATTGTTGCCACCAAATGTTATCGCTCTGCATTATATTTAAAGAAATTAAATAATGAAGAATCTGCATAAATGTATGTATATTTCTCACATTGTGATAAAACACAGGTACATAGAGTCATCGAATTTTGAATAACGTAATCCTCCAACGAATATGAGCATGTGGAAGACCAAATTTGAAATTTTGTTTTATGATCGATTTCCTATTTTTTAAAACTTTGACGAATTTTTGATTAACAAAATCAAGGATTTCAAAGTGAGCAATGGAAATGTTTGTACAGAAAAAACATTTTTGTCTCCAGCACGAGACTGTGTATCAGAAATTCTAAAGATATGCTCATTTAAAAATTATTTTGCGATATTGCCGTTGAACCAAATTTTATGGTTTAAGTGCAAAGAACATGATATTTAATATTGGGTCATATAAAAGTCTCTGCGCTTTTTATATGAATCTGAAAGCTTTCAGATTTTACTTTTTTCCCCAAAATTTTGGCTGTCAATTGCTTTTAGATCGTACATTTCGTCTGAACACAATGTGAGTTTGAGACTACTACAATAGGGCACAGACAAATCCATAAACCTCTACTATTGCAATGAGCAATAGTAGAAGTTTATGGCTTATGCAATGATATTTATGAACACAGGTTACAGGTTTATAAGGTATTTTCTCCCTCCTTTCTGCATGCCTTTTTGGTGTAACGGTAGCACACTCGGCACATATTTGAGAGGTCCATGTTAAAGTCCCGGCGAGGGCACTACTCATTTTTCACATCTCTTGCTTCAAAAATACCCTAATGACTCAACAGTGGCACCCAAACTAAAAGGTGGCGGATGATGATTCTTCACCACCAGAATATGGCGATTAGGTCCCCTAATCTCCAGTTGCCCTTTAAAAGGGGGAGTATATAAAGTATTTCCTCCCTCCTTTCTGCATGCCTTAGTGGTGTAACGGTAGCACACTCGGTGTGTATTCGAGAGGTCCAAGTTCAAGTCCCGGTAAGGACATTGCTCATTTTTCATATCTCTTGCTACAAAAATACCCTAACGACTCTACAAGGTGCTTGAAAATGATCCAGATACTAAGCTCTCCAGGGAAGAAAACATGGTATAGTGAAATAACTGAGAATTATTATTGCTGAATAGCTAGTACTGAAATTTCATGTTAGTTCTACATAGTAAATGCCATTATGAAGTAAGAAATATGCAGCAGCAGCTACTGTACAAATATGACCTGATCAATCATTAAAAGAAGCCAAATAAGATGCTGAAATAAAATCACATGTCATCAATAAGAACTAATAGCATCAAATTTCAAAATTCCTGCATGTGCAACATCAGTAAATAAAAGTACACCAAGAAATCCTAATATTAACTCTCTCAGAGCCAACTGTCAAAATAACAATGGTATAAAGCTAACATTAATGGATTTTCATGTAATAGGTGTGTGTTTAGAATTATAATTCCACCATTCTTTTATTAAATGTGGAATCTAGTAATGCAGCTATAATGGAATGGAGCTGTTTCTGATAAGCTTAGTTTTGTGGTTTTAGTGATAGAAATTATTAAATGTAAGCTTTTCAGATTATTTTAGGCAATTTCATTCTGGCTATACTGAGGCAAAAGTTTCCCAAAGACCCATTCTTTTCCAACCTGGCCTTGTACCCAAACTTGAAGTGCAGACTTTGGTTCTACAAGACTTACAAGTTGCTACAAAGACTAAAAAGACTTTGGTTCTACAAGACTTACAAGATAGGACCAATGGCATTAATTTTGTATTCTTCCAAGGAGAAACAAAACCCACAATTGTCCAGACACTTTTGATCACACATTGTATACATCAAAGACATATGGAGAAGGAAATTGAATTTACCTCTACAGTTGCTTGGTTTTCTGCTTGTAACAAGATAGGTTTTCTCAAAGACATAATACCAACTGCAAGAACTAAATTGGAAGGGAAAAAATAATCTAACATAATTTAAAAAATTTTATAACCACAGAAATAAAATTATTCATTTTCAAATAATGTTAAGAATTGTTGAATTCCAATTGTTACAAAAGTAAAATAAATATATGTCTTTAAGTGTCCAATTAAATAATATTAACTTCATAACATATATCTACGAGTCAAATAATGATTCCTTACAAATTGATAATTAATAAAGAATTATCTAAATTATTTAAAAAGAAAAATAACAGCTATTTTTGAACGCCAGTTATTTTATTAGAATTACAGCAGTTATTTGTTATCAATATAAAACTTTCTTAATTTTATTTTTAAAGTGTCACCACATGGTGAAAAAATAGTTTTGATGTAGCTCATCACAAGCTGTAAGAGACTGCTAAAATGTGCAACCCACTGTCTAGGTGTTTATAAATATGGAGGTCTGGTTTTCCAGGATGGCAGTTGTTGAGCTTAGGGTTGTCAACTCTAATCTTATGAAAACTTTCACTGTCTTGAAATCCAGAAAACCAGGGCTGCTCTCTTGGAAATGATTTAGAAAGCAAATTAAGGGCATGGAATTTTAATGCACGAATATATATATATATATATATATATATATATATAAAATTATTTCCTAAACAGTATTGATTAATTGATTATATTATCTCCTAAGTTTAATTAAAGTAGAATTATTTTAAAAGTGTGCATCCATACTGGTAAGTTATATTTTGAAAGATGTTTTGAAGTAATTTGAAAGCAAAATGTTAATAATGTTTTAATGGGGACTGGAGTTAAATCATCACGAGGAATAATATTACAATTGTAAAAGTAAAAATTAAAACATGTAATTATTGTCATTGATCGGAAATTAGTTGACTTTTCAAGGGGAACAAACCAACTCCCGTTCAATGATCAATAATTGATAAAAATACGTAAATATGAAAGTGTTTCGTCTTTACTCGAGTTATAAGTTAAAGCCAAACCGGCAATTCTAGTCAGGCCAAATATTTCCGCGAATAGTTGTTACTCAAAGAACTGATTCTCATGAAGCATTTTAGTCAATTCAATTTGGAGAGTAAAAATCAATTACTGTAGAGAAATCTTGTAAAACTCGAGTAATCGTCCCCGACACTATCATCTTTATGTATTTGAGTTTACTATATTATTTGTAGAAATTAAACATTGGAAATTGTCATTATGAAATCGAAATCAAAGTAAAGTTGAAATAAACATAGAAGATTATAAAAAAGATAAATAATGCAAACTTTGCAAAAACAAATCAAAGAGAACATAAAAATAATATAAAAATAAAATAGAAATAATATAAATAAGATCAGTGAATGTACATGAAGATATAAAGGCCAGAAAGGTATTAAGTAACTTACATTCTTTCTAGTGGGGGAGTTGGCAGTGTGTTCTCTTCGTGTCTGAGTCAGAAGTGTAGGGTGTCCGAAAATTCTTAGCGGCAGTAGGGGCTTTGAATTATATCAGTCGGTAAGACTTGGTTGAAGAAATTTATGGTAGTGGGTGGGACTTTGAATTCTTGAGGGATGTATTTTGTGGAGTTCTTATCTGAGAGAGACCGTCTGTTAAGATTTTTTTAAAAATACTAGTGAATGGAAATTAATTAATTTCTGGCTAATTGTCGTGTCGCAATGATTAAGAATTTAAGAAAGGAAAAAGGCATTTTCGCTATCCAAGAGCTAGTAGACAGTCTAAAGGCAGGAAATAGGCCCATTTTTTTTAGTAACAGTAACAGTATAGTAACAGTATATGTCTGAAGACAATTAGCTTTTTACAATATATACAATTCAGTAATTACACTATATACAAATCTTTCAACTGACAGTCATCCAACTTATACCGCCTTCTCAGGTTTAGGAATAAATATCATATCCCTATCAGTTAAATGATTTAGAGTGAGTATTTAACGCCTGCTCTTTAAGGCAATGTTGATAAATTGAAAGGGAATTAGATTATTTTTGAGAATTTTGATAAGGATCAAAATTTCGCGTTGTAAATCTATTGTATCTGTGCATATAGTTTTAATTCGTTGTATTTGATTAATTATAGTATTGTTAATTACTTTTTTGGATATGTTGGAGTTCCAATTTATTAATTTGTTAGTATTGAAATTGAAGTTTCTTTTTTGTCAAAAAAGTAAAATTTTTTGTAGTTAATGATTTGAAGATCTAGAAAGTCTATGCTATTTTGTGAATTATTAGTTTTATTAAGTTTAAGACAATTCGAATAAATGTCGGAGTTTTCAATTTTACCAAAATTATTAATTGTAATAAGGTCATCAATAAATCTGTAGGTGTGTTTGTAGTAATTTAACTCTTGTGGTTTGTAGATTTTTTTTGGAAGTTAAATTCTTTGACAAATAAAAAGATATTACAGATCGAGGTGCTGGAATGTAAGCCCATTGGCAATCCTCTGACTTGTTTAAAAAGTTGATTTTGAAACTTGATGTAGTTATGAAAAAGTGTGCATTTTAGGTAGGTTTTCCATTTGTTAAGAGTCATGATATTGAGTATATTAGGGAAAAGTTTTGGTAGATCAAGTAGACTGGTATAGATTTCTTCTAGAGGAAGTGAGGTATATAAGTTTTTAAAATCATAGCAGTTAATGTTTTGGATGTTAATGGTATGAATGGTATTAATGACAGGAGTGTTATTATGAATGATCCAGCAATAGTTATGATTAGTGTTACAATCATTGAAAATAAATTTACAGATTTTATTAAGTTGAATTGAAAATAAATAAGTCTATATTTTTTCTTGTAATTATTAGTTCCATTAGCTATAAATCTAAATTTTAATGGTGTTTTTATGGAATTTGGGAATCGCATAAAGATTAGTAAATCTTTGTAGTTTGCATTGAAAGTAATATTGAGTTCCTTATGAAAAGTTTTAATCCTGTTTATTATAGATGTTTCTGTAAGGTTGGCTGATTGATAAGTAGTTGCGTTGAGAAGTTCTTTATGAATAATCTCAGTGTAGAATTGTTTTCATATAATACTAAAGTTATTAGTTGCTTTATCTATTTTTGTAATAGTAAAAAGCTGTTTTAATTTACTAATATCAGATGTAAGTTTCGACCAGTTCAGTGTACTTTTAAATTTGAGGTGACTGATTTCTGTGGATATGCGTTGAAGAATTTTAGCTTTCCATTTTAAGAAGGTATCTATGGGAAAATTCAGTTGATAGCTTGCTTTAACTATAAATTCGTTGATGTTGTTTTCGAAAGTCTTGTAACAGTAATTTGTAGTCATGTTTCTGACTGGTCTAAATTTTGTACCATAACTCATTACTTGTTTTTAGTTGATGGTTTTGTATGATATTCAGGTTGCCAGTAATTATGTGCTGGTGATGAGAATCTACGTAATTGCTGTAAATTGGTGTCTTACAATGTCATTCTGCAGTTTCATCTATTTCATGGTGGTTAGTAAGCAAGTTGCTTAAGGTCCTTTGATATTTAAATGCAATCATTGGTATAGTGTCATCACCAGCACATAATTACTGGCAACCTGAATATCATACAAAACCATCAACTAAAAACAGTAATGAGTTATGGTACAAAATTTAGACCAGTCAGAAACATGACTACAAATTACTGTTACAAGACTTTCGAAAACAACATCAACGAATTTATAGTTAAAGCAAGCTATCAACTGAATTTTCCCATAGATACCTTCTTAAAATGGAAAGCTAAAATTCTTCAATGCATATCCACAGAAATCAGTCACCTCAAATTTAAAAGTACACTGAACTGGTCGAAACTTACATCTGATATTAGTAAATTAAAACAGCTTTTTACTATTACAAAAATAGATAAAGCAACTAATAACTTTAGTATTATATGAAAACAATTCTACACTGAGATTATTCATAAAGAACTTCTCAACGCAACTACTTATCAATCAGCCAACCCTACAACAGATTTACTAATCTTTATGCGATTCCCAAATTCCATAAAACATCATTAAAATTTAGATTTATAGCTAATGGAACTAATAATGACAAGAAAAATATAGACTATTATTTTTCAATTCAACTTAATAAAATCTGTAAATTTATTTTCAATGATTGTAACACTAATCATAACTATTGCTGGATCATTCATAATAACACTCCTGTCATTAATACCATTCATACCATTAACATCCAAAACATTAACTGCTATGATTTTGAAAACTTATATACCTCACTTCCTCTAGAAGAAATCTATACCAGTCTACTTGATCTACCAAAACGTTTCCCTAATATACTCAATATCATGACTCTTAACAAATGGAAAACCTACCTAAAATGCACACTTTTTCATAACTACATCAAGTTTCAAAATCAACTTTTTAAACAAGTCAGAGGATTGCCAATGGGCTTACATTCCAGCACCTCGATCTGTAATCTTTTTATTTGTCAAAGAATTTAACTTCCAAAAAATCTACAACACAAGAGTTAAATTACTACAAACACACCTACAGATTTATTGATGACCTTATTACAATTAATAATTTTGGTAAAATTGAAAACTCCGACATTTATCCGAATTGTCTTAAACTTAATAAAACTAATAATTCACAAAATAGCATAGACTTTCTACTAGATCTTCAAATCATTAACTACAAAAAAATTTTACTTTTTGACAAAACAAGAAACTTCAATTTCAATACTAACAAATTAATAAATTGGAACTCCAACATATCCAAAAAAGTAATCAACAATACTATAATTAATCAAATACAACGAATTAAAAACTATATGCACAGATACAATAGATTTACAACGCGAAATTTTGATCCTTATCAAAATTCTCAAAAATAATCTAATTCCCTTTCAATTTATCAACCATTGCCTTAAAAGAGCAGGCGTTAAATACTCACTCTAAATCATTTAACTGATAGGGATATGATAATTTATTCCTAAACCTGAGAAGGCGGTATAAGTTGGATGACTGTCAGTTGAAAGATTTGTATATAGTGTAATTACTGAATTGT